TACCTAAGCGTTCCTCCTTATTCTACTTTCTTAGAAATTAGAAAACACAAAATATAGACAGTTTGATAAAGGAACAATCAAAATAATACTCTGTGTGTGTGTGTTTGATAAAGGAACAATCAAAATATTACTCTGTCTGTGTGTGTGTGTGATAAAGGAACAATCAAAATAATACTCTGTCTGCGTGTGCGTGTGCGTGTGCGTGTGTGTGTGTGCGTGTGCGTGTGCGTGTGCGTGTGTGTGTGTGCGTGTGCGTGTGCGTGTGCGTGTGTGTGTGTGCGTGTGCGTGTGCGTGTGTGTGTGTGCGTGTGCGTGTGCGTGTGTGTGTGTGCGTGTGCGTGTGCGTGTGCGTGTGTGTGTGTGCGTGTGCGTGTGCGTGTGTGTGTGTGCGTGTGCGTGTGCGTGTGTGTGTGTGCGTGTGCGTGTGTGTGTGTGCGTGTGCGTGTGCGTGTGCGTGTGTGCGTAAAAGAACCTTGCAAATGAACAAGAAAAGCAAGTATATGGAAATTTTAAATAATAACGTTTTAGAAATTAGGTGTAGGAAGAATCAATACACTGGGCCAAGCAAAGCCATCATGCTTCTTAAACCAAGATATCTTGATGTGGCCCCGGCAAAACCCTGTCCAAAATGACAAATATTAGGAATCCTGAAATGTGAGGAGGGGGGAAGGGGGGTGGGAGAGGAACATAGAACACTATTTAAACCACAAGAATGAAAGAGGTTTCCTTGGTATCAGCATTTGCTACAAATTACAATTGATTCAGGTTTTTGTTGAAACAATACTTAGACCGGACCAAATAAAAATGTCACTAGCTCATACAATAGTTTTTCTATATATAAGAATGCCACTATCGCATAAAGAAATCATTAGATGCCAGTGGCAGCAAATTGAATCATCATCAGGATATAATTACTTGTTTTGCTGCAAGAAAGGCCGCTCTGGACTCTAGATTAATAGCAGCTAATTGTCCACCCTGAAAATCCAGAAAGTATGGGAATGTCAGGGATAAAGGTTAATTAGAGAAATAAAGTCATTAATGCTCCATATAGACATGGACATGGGAGATGACATGACATGAAGACAAGGGGAATTAAAAACTTTAAAAAATATCAGACACAGGAAGGACCAGAGTAATGTATATCCATGAATGTAACTGATGAAGAGGCAAATCTTCAAAATCTAGAGCATGCACACTGGGAATGGCAGGACACAAAAATAAAATCTATGCACAAAGTATGTATGCAAAACTTGTGTAAGTCCTAAGTGGAGTCACCAAAATTGAGGAGTTTCCCAGTTTTTATCCCTCTCTCTCTCTCTCATATCTTTTTGAACAATAGCCAGATACTGAGTAGTAACTTTCATAAAGAGAAAATATTGAAAAATGCATAGTCACCCAAGTTCACAAGCAGTATATCTAAGTTCGAAAATAGAAAGAAAAATTTGAATGTAATAGCAGGAAGATATATCACTTTGCCCATGTAAAGATTAATATCAATAAATAGCAGGAGTTCAAAGCATTAAAGCTGTAATAAATTTGAAAAGAATTGAACTCCGCATATTAATATTAGACAACTAATTTCCTTTTACAACGAGATAGCAATGAAGTCAAATATGTACCTTTCTGACAAAATCCCTTTTTAGCTGATAGTTGGCAGCTTCTAGGAACACCTTCCCAGATAACTTTCTAGCTAACTACCACAAAGGAAAAATAGTTAAAAGGTATAAAAAGAAGAGCAAAATAAAATTAATCAGGTTGACTAAATTCTTACCAACTGATAAATCTTTGCCAAAGTAAAGATACCGCCACCCTTCAGAGAAAATCAGAACCAACAGAATTTAAAAATATGAACTTAAGTTGGAGAGATTTGATAATGCATAAAGTCATTATGGTAAAGCTACATTACCTTCAAAAACATTGATCGGAGCTCTGTTGCGCTGACTTTTAAAGCAGTAAGGGCCTGCACCTTCCATTGACTGAGTCCAAGTTGAAGACTATGTTGAGCATCAGAGGGCTCAGAGAATTCCAACAAGCCCTGGAAACTTCCTGATTCTTCACTACATGAAGGAAGTGACTCATTATAAGTCATTACACCACATTTAAAATAAAAGAAAGTAAACTTTTCCTAAGATACAATGATCCACTCAAACAGTAAGTTGTTGAAATCAAATAGCATTTACTAAATGTACCAACTCGTCCAAGACATGAACTCTTTTCTACCAAAACACCACATCTTAAAGCATCACTGGGAATCAATGTTTTGCTCAAAGTACTGACTTGCTTTCACTTCAACTCTCCCCCTGCCCTTGTACCAGCTTGAACACTAATATTCTTTTTTGGTGAAAATATTGGTCTATACTTCTGATTAGCAGACAATCTCAAGGGAACTCTTCGATTTAGATGCAAGTATTCAGTCTTGGTTTCCCTTTTTTATTGTAATATGGTTTAAGATGGAGGAACTCTTTGATTTATACCACTTACCTGGATCAAATAATTATATCCAACTCTAATTACGGAAAAGATTCTTTCGCTGTCTACCCTTCCTTCCCAAACAACAACCATTTACAGTCATCTTTTGAAATCTTTATCAATATGGAAAATACACAATCATCACACAACATTTGGCAAGCACATCCCATAGTTCACTTCTCATACCTAAGGGAGAGTTCTCTTTGAACTCTCCTTCCTTACGGATGGTTATATATACATATGTATATAAGAAAAGTTACTTCTACTTCAGAAACTAATAAAAACCAAGGTCTAAATACTAGAGAAATATATACAGAACACATGCCTTGAATAATCTCGCAATAGATGAAGGAAAATCTCTGCTTCAAGGTCTTCAGTTGACAATTTGCTTGAGCAAGGAATGTTTAACTCTTTTCTCACTGCAAGCAAGACATTCCTATATGATGGCCTCCAACCCCTACCAAGTATCCAACACAAACCAATTGCATAGTCAACATGAGCGAAACATAGCTGACAATTAGATGACACTAGCAGTTAGTTTTGTTAAAAATAAAAAAAATAAAAAAATAGGATTACACAGAGTTGAAACACAATTCATAGCTAGGAATCCCTCATACGTTCAATTCAATCGCAAGTCACCCCATAAGCTTCAAGTAATATTGACTCCAAACAAGTTAACTTAGGAGGTGAATTTTGCAGATAAGATTGCGGAAGAACTCATTGACCCCAGCCTACAAAAGTTGAGGAAAAACCTTAAGGTTGACCGGGCGTCAGCTGCCAGGAATAAGAATCGCGATTCTAATGTGGATAAAAATTCCTCTCGCTCTTCAAGATCCTCTTCAATCATTGCATAGTCGACATTGGTTCTGCTCATTATAGATTTCAGCAACGGGCTGAAGTAGCTGGACATTGACAGCAACCAAAGATAAACACGTCAGCATCACAAGGAAACTTCAAGAGTTTGATTAACAGTTGACACTACTCCTTTACTGAAAATAAAAAGTGTGAGAAGCAAACACGATTTTCTAGTCTTGTCCGAAGTTTCATATTAACGAAACAGAAAGAATTATACAGTTCGAAGTACCTAGGGCCAAAAAGGATTCTTTCAAGCTCATATAACTCAGAGTCCGTCGCAAGTTCAAGTACGGAACGCAATTCTGGATCAAAGGTGCCTGAAAAGTGAACAAAACCCATATCGAATAAAAAATCCAAAACGTGAAACAATCTTAAAGGCTATAAGGCAGGCCATAAAGAGAGCAAAAATGTACCTTGCCCTTTTCCTGAAATGGCAGCATGAGCACAACCGACAAGCCTCACACTATTTGTAGACCAACGTGAGCTACGTATCTGTTAATTACGATTAGTAACACGGGTTATGATTATAGATTGTTGTTTCTGTATATTTGGTGGTCAGAAAAAGAAAATAGAAGCAACGAAACAAAATACGCGGGAGTAAAGCTTGTGAAATGGTGAGGAGGAAAAGAAGAAGAGAGCTTACTGGGTAAGTGAGTTTGGTGGTGGTGGTGGTGGTGATTGGGGAAGCAAAGGGGAGGCGGAGCGCCAGAGCAGATGAGGTAGTGGACATATCTCACCAGTCTCCGTCCAGTTGCTGCAAATCGGTGTGGATACTGTGATAGACTACAACCAGAGATAAAGAAATTCGCGGCTCATTAATTTCGAGTCTTGAATTCCAGATGTTGTGCGATGCTCAACTATCCTGCCTTTCTAAGTTCTAATCACCATTGACTCATTTTCGAGGCCCTTTCCTTTTATCTTTTCTTCTCAGTTAAATGTATGTTTTTCTCCTTTTTCTTTCTCTTTTTTTTTTTTACTAGATTTTTTTTATATAGAAATTTTACTAGATGTTTTAAGTAAATTTTGTATAGGCCAAACATGTAATACCACATTACATAGCAACGGGTAATGGAAACTAAAAATGCTTCTGACAAAACTTCTTATAAAGACACTCCCAAAAATACCTTAGTTCAGATGATTAGTAATGAAATTAGTAAATGAGATTCTTAGTAATGCATCAAATAACACGACCGGCCTTCCACTGTCTACAAGGGGAAGGGGGTAGGATAATCAGTGTTTTTGAGTCATGTTTTAAGATTCCTGGAAAGAAATGTAATTTGAATATTTTGAAAAAAAACATTGGCTAAAGAAAGAAAACATCAAGATGAAAATCAGGAAGGTCTAATTTCATTCTCGTTGGTGAAAGGAATGGGCCTAATACCACTGGGAAACTTGGAAGACACCCCAACATTTCTTCAGTTTTTTTATTTTTATTTTTATTTTTTTGAGGAAACATTTCTTCAGTTTTTTGATTGCCTTGTTCTTACCACGAAGTTGATAAATCCTTTTTTATTTTTAAATTTCCTTGTTCTTTGGTTCGGCGTTCTTAGTTGGCCCTTTTTTATGATCTTAGTTTGCATGTAGCAGCTGCTTCCACAAGTATTAAGCAGCAGCCAATAATAATATGCCATGTATTTACAAAACACAGAGAGAGAGAGAGAGAGAGAGCATGAGAGAACATTGGGTAACTCTATAACGATACGAAGGAAAGAGGAAGATATTTAAAGAATGTATTGCAAAGCTTGAAAGGTAATGATACAAACTGTCTCTATGAATAGTCGACCATATTGTGATCTAACACATTGCTCTGGAAAGCAAGATATCTCATGACACTTCTTTAGTACACGAGGCACTACAAAATTAATTTTAAGGAAACTTCTCTACAAGGAGGTAGGTGCCTACGAGATGAAAAACACCAGAAAATACATCTCCCATGATGATTGATTCTTGGAGAACAACTACCTACTCACACTTGATGGATCGGTATATGTGACGAACAAAAAGCAAAGCTGCACGGAAGCCTACAGTTCCAAGCATGAGGAAGAAACCATAGCAGATGCATGCCATGTAACCAAAGAAGAATGATGTTTGCATAAATCCTGACATATCCGAGCGTGCGTAGTAGTAATACAAACAATAGGCATAGATAAATATGCCAGTAGATCCACCGCAGAGGAAAGATCTGTAATCAAACCAACATTTATACATCAATCAAGGAATATTATATTTACATCTCCTGAAGATGTCCAAATTTTCATGTTGAAGTAAAATCAAGTATTATATAACACGCAATACTAATACCACACTAATGAGCAACCAAGGCAATCCGCAAAATTAATTAATAAAAAGTCCACAAATCCTAAATATCAATTGCCTAGAGCATGGTAGCTCTTCTTTCTTTAGTTCAGTGCACCCGTTACTTTAGTCTAGCTTTCTTAATCCTAAACCTACAAAATCCATATATCCCACTTATCGGAATTTTCAATACCATTTCTCCATTAGTCACGAATACTTGACGTCAATATAATTGCAGATCATATCAACAAAAGCAGTTAATCAAGAACGGCAAGCATAGGAATAAAAAACATAATAACTTGCATAAAACCCCTAAGAAAAAATTAATATGCACGGAACCTCCTTACCTCCACCACCACTCATGGTCCTCAGCAGCAAGTTGGAAATATGTCAATGCCACAGTAATGAAAGCAGTAACTATCAGAAGAATGATAAACACAATAAACAAGATGCTGTAAATGGTGTAAATCCTGTGACCCCACACACTGGCAAAAATGTAGTACAGTTCAATGTATATAGCACTGAAAGGCAGAAAACCAGCCATTGCCATTTGAGGGATTGTTGCCCGGTACCAAGGTAAAGGTGGAATCTCTCTGGGATATTTAGTCGTGCGGACAGGAGCTTGGAACTCGGCTTTGCTGTTCTTTCCGGCAATACCTCCTAACACTAGCAAAGGTGATGTTACAAGTGTCCAAATTAGAACTATAACCACAATAGTGCCAAAGGGAAGCGCGGCAGTGGCCGTATAAGCAATTGCAACAGTATTCAAAAAGCAGAATGTAAGGAACAGAGGTCCACAGAAGAGGCATCCCGTCAACAATAGATTCCTAACCTGCCATACCAGGAAGTTCAATCTTCAATTCATATAATATAAACTTTAGTCAATGATTCCAGAACCCTAGCAGGAGAATTTATCATCACATACCCAGTTTGTTCCCTCTAGCTGGCAATAAAATGAAGTAGCAGTATATCCTGCAATTCCTGATGTGAGTGCATAAATGACAACTAGAGCAGTAAATAGAGCCCCTCGGTTGTATGGATAAAACACGCCAACAAGAGCAAGTATAAAAATGAATATCGTACTGCATGGCATGGAAAAAAACAAGAAATAATGAGAAACTTCGAAAAATGAGAGTTAGCGCTAAACCTATAGCTAGATTAATGAGCACTTACAGGGTAAATAGTTGGGTGCCTGAACCCAGAGCTGCTGCAAACAGAGACTTGTACTTGGGAAATCTAAATACATCTCCATGAATGTATTTCCATCCAGTCTCTTCCTGGTCTTCAGCTGCTTCTTCATCATGGGCATATCTTTTATAGAGAAACAAACAGTAAATTAAAAAATGAGTGAACTGGCAGACAGAAAACAGTGATAAATGACTCTTAAATATGCTTACTTGACAAAATCATTCTTAAGCACTCGCATGAGAATTGTGGCAAGAAACCCAGTCAAGAGGAGAACTGTCACACATGAATTTATAATCGAGAACCAATGGATCTCCAAATGATGCGGCAGCGATGAGGACTGAGAATACTTATCCATCCTCTTATCAAAAGGAGTGGTTGTTTCCTTCCATTTTACAGTATACATGAATTCGACATCAATTTCTTTATCCTCTGTAAGGTCAACCAGTGCATTTGGATCTGTTCGAACATTGATTTCAATCACACGGTCCTTGTTGTAAGAGATATCAAAATGAATATGCTTATACAGGTAGGTCTTGTATTCGCTCGGGTCTTTGCCTTCCTTGTCAACTTTTCCTATGAAACCCCAAATGGGCAAGTCATCATAATACATCTGAAAGTAATAGTCCTTGTTGACAGCAGATCTGAACCGGGCCACTTCTTCCTTTTTTATTGTTCTTTTGCAAGCTACTTCCGAATCTTTATGCTTTTGGAACTCTAGTTTGTAAGGGGCACTGACTAAACGATCCCCATTTAATACTTCACCCAGAGCTTCCTTCTTCTCTTTCACCTTATCTGCAATTAGGATCCAAATATTAAGGTAAATGAAAGTCCTCGCAGAAGATGAAGACATATTATGTAAGAAGTAAGAAAGATAAAAACGAATCCGATTGATGCAAACCTGGTGAGCAGAATGGGAGATCAAAATACCGGTACGTTTCGCTGTAATCACCCAAAAAATACAAAATTAACCAAATTGTAATTGTGAATACCAAATTTCCACCATAGTCAAACTTGCATCTAAAATATTAACTAGTTCAGCAGAAACAGAGTTAAGCTTTCAAGAACAGTGCACATGCTATTTCAATGAAAACACTGTTCAATCTCAAAATGCTAGCAAAGCCGCCTAATGGTCTATCCCAAATCAAATCTTTAAAAATAGATCCAGCTCAGAATTCAACACAATTGATCTAAGTTCAATTTGCCAATCACAGTGTCTAACTTATCCCAGCTGAAACAAATCTTATCGTCTAAGCTGAAAAACTTGTAACTCATGCAAATTTCTGAGTAACCAGACAAATGGGTCTACAAATAAACTCAGATCCAGAACAAATAACAGCGAAATGAACAAACCCAGAAGCTGAATTGAGCTAAGAAAACGTGAAACTTTGAGATCGAGGAGCGAGCAGCGTGAGTCTGGGTTTTACCTGGGGTTGTGGAAGGGGCCCACCTTGTTAGCATACAAAGGGACTAAATCTCCTTCCTTGTACCGATGATCCGACGCGTCTGACCTGACCAGATCCACACCGCACAGAATTAACAAGGCGATGATGACTGGCACTCCCACCGCCATGGTCTTCCCCATTCTCACTCTCTAATCTCTGCAGAGACAGACAAACACGTTCAATATATATCTGATTTTGGGTTTGGGCCTCCTTTGGTTTGGTTTATATATTTACTTGGGGCTTAATAAAATATAGAAGTTAAGCTTAATACGCTCATAATTTTTATTAATTATTAGAGGTTAAAATTATAATATTAAGCCAAAACGGGGAGCAGCGGGTGACGGAGACGGAGTGCCTCACCACATCCTAAGATGTTTGATGCCTCACCGACGCTTTGGTGCCTACCTTATGCCGTAGGGTGCGTCTAACGCTTCTCTTTTTCTTTTCTTTTTTCTATTTTTCCTTCCTTTATTTATTTATTTCTTTCTTTCTTTCTTTCTTTCTTTCTTTCTTTCTTTCTTTATGTCTACGTGTTAGAGGGTGAGAGATATGGTGGTTTGATAGTCAACGCCTTGGGACGATTCCCGGCCTCCTTCCTATTCGGATCTGAATTCCCGCTTGGGTCGACGACACGTTGCATTGTGGGTCCTGGTCTATTCCTAGTGGGTCCATGTCCTTGCTGTTTGATTATTTTCAGATTTTCCATCCTTTGAATTGAATGTTGTGATTCATATAATGATATTCCATTGTGAATTTCCTTTTTGTTTCATGGTAGATGAAAATCAATGTAGTCAAAATTCACAAACGTTGGCTTACTTGATAGTTGGTGGTAAGTTGGTATCAATGTAGTAAATTGCAGTTACTAAGCAACAATAACATGCTACAAACTTACAAACACATATGGATAGATTGCATTTTATGAATCTCATCTAACATACACTTGTCATTTCCAGTCTAAAAAAAATTGTAAACTTTATCATGTGACATGTCTTTTAATCTTTTTTTTTTTTATGTTGGAAAAGATGCTTTATTTTAGAAACATCATACGTGAAAGTCAAGAACAAGAGCGTGATCTTAAAAAAGACTCACGACCTGAATTAATCACGATGAAACAAAGAAACAAATCGGAGCTCCGCAATGTCAGAATACAATTCAACATAAATTGGAACTTGATGATACAATAAGTGTGGCCTCATTAAAACCTTGTCTTAAAAAACCCTAAACGACAGAAAAAATGGTCAAGAAAAGAGTACTATTACATCACAACCAAAGTCTAAAATATCAATGGTATTAGAAATATTGGTAGTCTAGAAACACGGACATTTCAATGGAAATATCGGAATATTATCGATATCAATAAAAATTGAATAAAAATCACGGAAATTGTAATAAAAATTTGAAATTTTTTATATATAATATATATATTTTTTTTTATGTAATGTTACAGGCATATCAGGAGCTACGACGTAAGCTTAGTGGACGGCTACAACTTGCCCATGATGGTGGAGCCGAGCGGCGGGTCGGGTAGTTGTTTGTCGACTGATAGGATCAAGTTCCTATCAACTAGTGAATTTGGACAGAACAGAAAAATAGGGAAAGTGATCTCTTCGAGGGGATCAAACCTCCAAAGCATAAAGCTCTATTTCTTTTGCTTAGCATGATCACCATACGTGCAAGTCACAGAGGCTGATGAGGAAGTCCACAGGTTGCTTGTAAAGTATACGTTCACTATTCCAGACACAACCATCCACAATCGACGATACAGAACAGATTAGATTAGATTAGATATATTTAGCATAGAGTGTACAGATACGGTTTTTGTTAATTTACTTTCCCTTTACTAGTCTCCCAAGCTAGTTTTAGAACGATTGCAATTGAAGTTAGTGTACGAATCAAGTATCAAAGAAAGAGCTTTTTGTGATTGAGGCAATGCCATTCTTCAACTTGATTGTAATTTCAGTAAAAAAGAAAGTATTTGCTTTATCTTTGAATCCATCTATCTACGTAATTTCAGTAAAAAAGAAAGTGCTCGCAGTTTCTGTCTCAACCTCTTCAACATATTCTTCCTCCTCAACTGCGATATCAGGGTTGATGTTTAGGATAGGCTTCACTGAACTGTAGAAGCGGGAGGCACAAACCTTGGGGTCTGGAAAATTGGAAACACTCTCCATGCGTGCAAACTGGTAAATAAGCATTGCTGTATGCTTTGCACTCTCATCCTGAAGAGCAAGCTAATAATCGAATGAAATAAACCAGATTCACCAACAATTCAACAAATGGATTTTCTAAGACATGCTTTTAGACTCAACCATAAGAGTAGGCATAGGCCTTGGCTTCTTTCAATTGCTTAACAGACCTGTGATAGCAATGTGCCTATTTATTCATCTAAACCACCTAAATGAAGAACCATTTTGATTTCATAACAAGGACAAAGATCAGATCCCCAAATGAGAAACAATCAGAAATGAACAATTTTAACCAATGACAGAGAAATCCAACTTACAAAGGTCAAGATTTCTTAAAAATATTTTGCAAGCAGGACCCACCAGTCATTTATAAATGTTGGAGACCATTTAAAAAGTGAACAAGATCATGAATGCACAAAGACCTTAATTCTGCGAAAACCTTCATATATGTCAGATTTCTGTAAGTGCAAGTGGAAGAAGTCTAGAACATACCTCAGCGCTCTTTACTACTCTTTACTGGAGCTCCTTGATGATTGGATGCCTTGGGTTAATCTCAAGTATCCTCTTGCCACGCATGTATGCTTGCTTGCTAGCATCCGATAAAGTCTGAGACTGCATGATCTTCTCCATGTTTGCACTCCAACCAAAATTTGATGTCACAGCCACACAAGGTGTGTCAGGCAATCCGATGGACAGCTTCACATCATCCACATCGTAACTGGCAAGAGCACTCTTCCACCATTTAGTGAGTTCCTTGTATGATTCCTTGAGTTCCTTGTCTTCATAGTCCACCAAGTATTTCATCAGATATACATCAACTGGATCTGTGAAGAAAATAACCTGCAGCAATAGATATAAAAAGGTAAATAGAGAGACAAAAAAAGGCCTTACTCATGACTCAAATAGAACGAGTAGGAAAGTAACAAACAACCCTATTTAAACAAGTGCAAGGATTGAATATCTTTTATATGTACCTCATAATTTTCCTTCTTAAGCCACTCAATGAAGGGATATTTTTCCAATTGTTCCTTGCTGGCTCCAGTAATGTAATATATGTCCTTCTGCCCAGATTTCATCCTACTGATCTCGTGAAGTCAATTTTCCATCTGACTTGGTGCTGCCAGAGAGTTCAAAGTTCGTCATTCAACCCCATAAAGGCGGAATCTAGTATATCGGCCTCTCTTCCAATCATCACTACTGGATTTTTCAACCTCTGTGTTCGCATCAAAATTCAACACAAGGCAAAAGTAAACAATTAATGCAAACTTAGTAACTCTCCCCCACTGTTAGCTTTACTAACTTTTACAAAAACAGCAAAACATGAAGCTCAAGTTGTTGGTTTTCAAGGGATGGTATTAATGCAAGTTTAACTGGGCTGCAGTAAACATGACATCAATGTACCATATAACAACTCGTACGCTCCGATTGAATACTTCCAGAATAGCACAAGGAAACTGCTTACAAATATTAACAAGAAGCAATAACATGCGCACCATACCTTTCTTGTCTTTGTCATTGGACTCATCAGGATCTTCCTCAGCAAGTTTACGGATCATATCAAGGGCTTTCCGGATGAGCTTCTTATTAATTGCCTTCAAAATGCTGTGTCGTTGAAGCATTTCTTGTGATACATTGAGTGGCAAGGTGTCAGAATCGACAAGACCCTGATCATAAGATCATCAATATAAAAACCAGTTTTGGCTCAAAAGATCATCAATCTATAAAAAGAAATCACCACAATAGGCTTTTTATTCAAAATACCCCAATGAACTTATGCACTAACTTAAAAGGAAAAGGGGAGAAGGGGCAGTAAAGCTTTTTTCTCCTCCCCTCTTTGTAGAGTTTTCCTTTAGGATTCACAGATGGAGAGAACGGCTAGAGTTTCGTATAATAGCTGGGGTATATATTTAAAAGACAATTTGGTTAAATATGGTTACAGTTTGGCTTTCAAATAACTATATTCAATTCAAAGACAATTACCAATTTGGGTTAAGAAAGCAATTTTTCCTATTCAAATAAATTGTAAAAAATGATCCCTACTCACTTGTTAGGATGTTAGCAAAAAAAGAAATATAGTTACTTGTTTAGCTATTGGAACAAAAAAAGAACACTAATTATTTACTAGGTGGTAAAAAACGAAAGGTGTAAGTGGGCTCAAAATTATTAAACAATCCACTCGAAAAATGTATGTATTTGTAGGCTAATATCTGACAATGTGATTTTGTAATTTGAATTGATTTTCCTTTAAAGATCATCCATGTAAAAAGTTGTTCAAATTGAAAATGAATTCACTATTTTAATATCAACACAATCTTTTTCGATGTTTGTTTTCAAATTCACTTTGTGCCATTACAAGTTTATTGTTATTTGTATTTATGGTGTATATTGGGAAATTAGGCTACAAATAATACTACCTAAATTCCACCGGATCAAATGGTAGACGCAAAAGCAGGAGAAAGGCCGGGAGGGGTAAAGTAAAAGTAAGAAAATTGAATTATTATTATTATTATTATATTTTGGTTGTGAAAATGAGAATAGACTGAATAGTGAATATATTCAAGTTATTCCAAGAGCATCAAAAAGAACTAAAACTAAAACGAAGCTTTGGACCACCACCACCTCAATTCAGGAGACCACGCCCCCAAAAGCCTCCACAGAGAAGAAACAAAAGGAAAAGAAGAAAATAAGCAGCGCCAGCAGCAACCGGCCCACTCCCATTACCACCAGGTGCCTCTCTTCTGTTCCTCCGTCGCTTTATTATATCTAACCCTTCTTTGTATTTTTCAGTTTTAAGCTATTTTGTCCCCTTCTTCGATACCCAGAAAATCATTTTGCCCAAAATAACACGAAAAATTAAAAATCAGATCTTGAGTTTCTCTGGCCTAGAAATAGCGTTGTGTTGGGCTCCAACGGCTATGAAACTTTCGTGAAAATCAAATCCCACTCCCCAAACTAATAAATCCGTTGGGATTTTGAGGGTTTCTAAATTTTCAATCTATGGATTTGGGAACCGCAACCTGCTTGTAAGTGACGGATCCACGTTGAAAATGCGTCGTTTTGAGACGGAGAGTCGGGCCGGCACGCTCTTGTGGTGGATTTCACAACTTGGTTTTACATTTTTTTGAGAGGAAAACAATGGTTTTGCTTTGCTTAGTTGCTCATAAAATGTGGGAAAAAGGAAATTAAATATTTGATGTTTTGAATGTTGGATTTTCCCATTCTTCAGGACACTAGAAGACAAAATGCCGCCAGTCGTTGAGCCTAATACGAGGTAACTTCGTCATTATATCTGGACGAAATAATACCTACTTCATTTTCTTTGTATATATATACTTGAAAATCTGGTTTTTCATTTTCTTAGCAAAAATGGGGCAAACTGGAAGATGGGTTTTTGACTCTTTGTTGTTGTTGGATGAGCTTTTTGTTAATGGATGTTCTCAGGTTTGGTGGGTGATTTTTTGATGCATGTTTGTAGGTTTTAGGAGGCTGAAAATGGGGGACTCAAACTCCGTTGATGTGATTCTGGACTTTCTGCGGAAGAATAGGTTTTCAAGAGCTGAGGCAGCTCTTCGCAGTGAGCTCAGTAATCGTCCTGATTTGAATGGTTTCCTTCAGAAGCTTACTCTTGAAGAGAAGGACTTGGGTAATTCGTTGGAAGCTGAAAATGGGGACAAATTGGTGGTGGAAAATCAAGGGTTGGGGTCTAGGAATGGTGGTGAAGTTTCTAAGGAACTTATAGTGAAAGAGATAGAGTATGGAACTGGTAGAAATGGGTCTGAAAGCAAATGGAAAAATACTGCTTCTATTGGGGAGCGGAATAAAACTATTGAGGTGGCTGGGACAAATCACAAGAGCTTCGCATTCTCTAAAGGTTTAGAGGACACAGTGCTTGATTTATATTCATGGAAGGTCAATCCTAGCAATGGACCTGCAGAACCTTGTCAAAATGATGGAGATGGTAGTATCAATAACTACCCAGAGCCTCAGATATCCCACCAATCAAGGAATCATACAGCTGAGGTTCCTGATTCGGGTAAAGCCATTGTGAAATACGGAGAAGAGATTCTCTTTTCTGGCAAAAAGAAAACTTCTTGGGCTGGAAGTACTAGCAAAGCTAATGTGGAATTGAAGTACGACAGAACCCAAACAAGTGAACCTAAGGAACTTGACCAACAACTTAAGACAAGTACCTCATTCTTGAAAGAAAATGTAGCAGATAATCCATGGTCAAGAATTGAAGAACCTTCAAATTCACCTTCAGAGATGTGGAAAGATTGTTCTGTCAAGACGGTATTTCCATTCTCCAAGGGGGACGTGCCAACAAGTTATGATAGTGCTTCTGCTTCTGACAAAAAAGAAGGAAAGAGAAAAGCTGAGTTGACTGATATTAGGGCAACAATAAAGGATCAGGTTGATGAGGTGGGAAGAGCTTTATACTTAAGCAAGTCACAAGGGAGTTCTGAGCAAAATACCATCAGTAGCTTAGTTTTTCCTATTCTTCCTGAGAATCAAAAGGAAGAGTTCCCTAGGCTGCCACCTGTCAAACTCAAGTCAGAGGACAAACCATTGAATATTAATTGGGAGGAAAAGTTTGAGCGAGATGTACCTGGCTCAAAACTCAGCGCTGCTGACAATGCTCTTCTTATTGGGTCATATTTGGATGTCCCTATTGGACAAGAAATCAATTCTTCAGGTTAGTTTTGATAAATTTGATAGAGCATTGTATGCTCACCTAATATTTTTAATTTTAAGTAGCAATTGCAGTAGTCAGTTTATTGTCTGGGCTTTCAGGACTTCTACTCATTGCAGACACTTTTATCCTTATAGGCTTCTCAGCTATTTCATGTTTCTGTTGCAAATATATCTGTTGCAATCATGCTTGATTGTCTGCTCAATTTCAGTAGAGATTCTCTTCAATAGGCCTCAAGTTTTTGAATTTCTGAAGTTCTTCAGGGTCAAACTCTGTTGCCACTTGATATTGGTTATTTTGGTACGTCAAGTCTCTGATTTCTTGTTTTAAAATTATTGTTCAGGTGGAAAAAGGAATGTAGGAGGAGGCAGTTGGCTGTCTGTAAGTCAGGGGATTGCAGAGGATACATCTGATCTAGTTTCTGGTTTTGCTACTGTTGGTGATGGATTGAGTGAATCTGTTGACTATCCAAACGAGTATTGGGACTCTGATGAATATGATGATGATGATGATGTGGGATACATGAGACAGCCTATTGAAGATGAGGCCTGGTTTCTGGCCCATGAAATCGATTACCCAAGTGACAATGAAAAGGGAACAGGGCATGGGAGTGTTCCGGATCCACAGGAAAGAGGTCCAACCAAAGATGAGGATGATGACCAATCTTTTGCTGAGGAGGATTCTTACTTTTCTGGTGAGCGGTACTTTCAAGCGAAAAATGTTGAACCAATTGTAACTTCAGATGATCCTATAGGACTAACAGTGACTGAATTGTATGGGAGGAGTGATGAGAATGATTTAATAGCTCAATATGATGGACAGTTGATGGATGAAGAGGAACTTAATTTGATGCGTGCAGAACCTGTCTGGCAGGGCTTTGTCACTCAGACTAATGAACTCATCATGTTAGGGGATGGGAAAGTTCTGAATGAGTGTGGAAGGTCACGTCTAGATGATGTTTGTGTGGATGATGATCAGCTTGGTTCAGTAAGATCAATAGGTGTGGGAATCAATAGTGATGCTGCTGATATTGGCAGTGAAGTACGGGAAAGTTTGGTTGGAGGCAGTAGTGAAGGGGATCTAGAATATTTTCGAGACCATGATGTAGGAATTGGTGGGCCCCGGAAGCATCATCATGAATCAGATAAGAAAAACATTGATAGATCTAACAAGGACAAAAAGAAAACTAGTAAACAAGAGGCAAATAAATATGTAGTTGAGACTGATACGGGTATATCGAGACAGAAGAAAAATCATACAGAAGGGGTATTTTCATTCCCTCCACCACTTAGAGATGGACAGTTGGTGCAGGCAAGCTCTAGTAAATCTTTATGGTCAAACAACTGCAATGCTGTTGTCACTGATGAAACTGATGACTGTATGGTGGATTCTGATAACATGCTCGCTTCATGGAGGCAGAAAAGTAATGATTCCTCACCTAGAATGAGTTCTAGGGACGAAAATAATGCTAATGCTGTTAGATCCACAAACTCTACTCCCTCAACACTCTCTAATTATGCTTATGCCGAGAGAGAGCATGCCAAGCAAGAAGAAGAAGATAAAATTGCTGCTGTTAGGGAAGAAGATACAGGAGCATCACTTGAGGATGAAGAGGCAGCTGCTGTGCAAGAGCAAGTAAGGCAAATAAAGGCTCAAGAGGAAGAGTTTGAGACCTTCAACCTCAAGATTGTGCATAGAAAAAACAGGTATGTCTTCACCGATGCACTAATCTCAAATATAAATTAATCGATCATGGTTCTTTACGGGAGAATTGTGCTTGGGCATAGGATGTTTCTGTTTACACCAATAGTAAATTTAAAAAGTTCTGAAAACTATTGAAGCTGCTGTACTGTAGTTTTAGTTTGTTTTCTTGAAGAAAATAATTGTATAGTAATGCATCTATCTGTAATAATGAAGATTTTGCAGCTATCTATCTATGCCACGGTTTCCCTAAATCCTAAACCCTTGTTCTTTCCTCTCCTCTTCTTTTATCTTTTTATCATCTTAACCTAATAAAAAGAAATCATCCTATCTGCTTGAGCTTCTTGATCTGCTAATTGTACAGTCAGTTACTTGACTGCTAATTGTACAGTCAGTTACTTGACTGCAACTACCCCCTTTTTTATTGGGGATAAGAAACGTGAATATTTAAAAAAAATTAAACAACCCTCTTTTCTTTTGTTGTGTCATATGGATTATTAATCGATTAGTGTGATCTCTTTTAGACGGACTTTAATATCTCAGCTTTTTCTGATAAGTGTTGCTGCTTTGAAGCTCTTCTTTGCCATTTATACTGTCGTTGGGTACTTAACTTGCTTCTGGTAGTCTATTTGAACTCATGTTTTTATTGCACAGAACTGGCTTTGAAGAGGACAAAAATTTTCATGTTGTGTTGAATTCTGTGATAGCTGGGCGCTATCATGTCACCGAATATCTTGGATCAGCTGCTTTCAGCAAAGCTATACAAGCACATGATCTGCATACAGGCATGGATGTTTGTGTGAAAATTATAAAGAACAACAAAGATTTCTTTGATCAGAGTCTTGATGAGATAAAGCTTCTCAAATATGTCAATAAGCATGATCCTGCTGACAAGTACCACATTCTACGTTTGTACGATTACTTCTATTATCGAGTAAGGGAATGTACAATTTTGATACTTATCTTGTTTGGTTTTGAGCTTTTATAATATTTTGGCATAGATTTTTGTTTAATATGTGCACATTTGCTAGATTTGAATTATTTGTCTTTCATTGTCTTGTGTACCTGTGACCCCTATGCTTTGGGGCAGTGCCTTTCTGCTAGCATGGAGAGGGCAACACTTGAAAGTTTTGTATATGGCTTCTTGTGGTTAGTCATTATACGATTGAGGTTCCTTTTAGGGGATGTTTCATACAATCATATATTATTGACAGCTTGCTTCTCGTGTTTAGTGTATTGATCTTGTTTATGAAATGATGCATTGCATATTAATCTGAAATGAATGATAACTTGATTTGCATTCGACTTTATTTTGTAGGAACATCTGTTGATAGTATGTGAACTTCTCAAAGCAAACTTGTATGAATTTCATAAATTTAATCGGGAGTCTGGAGGGGAGGTCTACTTCACAATGCCAAGACTGCAGGTTTGTTGGGTTCCATTTTTCACTTGACGACTTAATGCCTTGCTGGCATGTAAACTTTGCTGAATTTGTTTTTTTGCAGTCAATTACGACTCAGTGTCTAGAGGCGCTTCAGTTTTTGCATGGCCTTGGCCTGATACATTGTGACTTGAAGCCTGAGAATATACTGGTGAAAAGCTACAGTAGGTGTGAGGTGAAAGTCATTGATCTTGGGAGTAGTTGCTTTGAGACAGATCATCTCTGCTCCTATGTTCAGTCTAGATCATATCGTGCTCCTGAGGTTATCTTGGGACTTCCATATGATAAGAAGATAGATATATGGTCACTTGGCTGCATCTTGGCTGAACTTTGTACTGGCAATGTAAGTGCTATGCATCCAGATATAATTGTGATTAGATTTCTGTTTTTATTATCTAATACAAGCGTGTGGATAATGGATTATAGCATGTGGTTGTCATTTTAATTCTGTTTTCTTGTCTTCTACTCTTCTTATTCTCTTTTGGTGAAGATAAAAACTAAAAAGAATATTTTTGACTTTGTTTGCTTATTAGCAAACAACACAATTATCTGTTATTTGTGATCTGTTAATATTAAGCTCTAACCTGACTGCTAGTTGAAGTAAATCCCAGCTTCTGTACAACATGGTTTACATGTTTGTGTCTGCGTGCCTGTACTTAAAGTAGCGACTATCATTGATTGACTAATTGTTATCATTCTGTATTAATGTCCCTGTTAAGTTTCCATTCATCCACAAATTCATTTTAGTGGATGTAGACATGAAAATTGTAACATGGATTCGTGAGATTGTGTTTTGATATATTACAAAACAAAAACAAAAACAAAAAAGTGTGCTTTTAATATATTGTTTTACAGATGATTATATATGCTGTTTGGAATATATTACTACCTGATGATTATATATGCAATTTTTATTAAATTTTTTTATTATTTCCATTGGATCAACTACTCAACTTTTCTAGAAAAACAAAAATTTATGATACTGGTGCTAAATGTAGAAGTGAACTTGCTTTTTCTAGGTGCTCTTCCAGAATGATTCACCTGCAACTTTACTTGCACGGGTGATGGGAATCATTTGCCCCATTGATCAAAGTATGCTAGCCAAAGGACGTGATACATACAAATACTTCACAAAAAATCACATGCTTTATGAACGGAATCAGGTAACCTATATGGTTTTGAGTTAATTACTTAATTTTTCTCTTAAATCTTTGGAAACTTAACACGTCACCATTCTCCAATTTTTGTGTGTAGTATTTTGTATAAACACTGTTAATGCTGGATTTATTTACATTTCTGATAAGTGGTGCTATTCTCCTCTGTTCTTCAGGAAACTAACAGACTGGAATATCTGATACCGAAAAAGACATCCTTGAGGCACCGGCTGCCAATGGGGGACCAAGGCTTCATTGACTTTGTTGCTCATCTGCTTGAGATAAACCCGAAGAAGCGCCCTTCTGCATCTGAAGCTCTGAAACACCCGTGGCTATCATATCCTTATGAACCCATATCATCTTGAAGACTTGGAACAATCTGAGAAGTTTCTTGGTAAAGAGAACATAGTGCAGTTGCGCTTGCATTTTGGAATTTTGGGCGTCTAATTGTGAAGAGGCTTCATTTGATTCGTAATCAGAATGAGTTATCCATTTGAAGGAGATTATGGCCCTTAACACTGCTGCACAATGAATGCATTGAAAGGTGTGTTTGGGACACGGTTTGATTATGGCCCTTTCGTTCCTTCCCCTTTACCAAGTTGTATTCCAATTAGCTGTAATCAAGAATGTAATTTTGCACGCACTGTATTCTTAGGTTCTTCTTTCTTCGCTTTGTTTGTTCTGATGGAAGGGGAATCTTGAAATCGTGTTGTACATGATTGTGTGATATTCTTTTAGGTAATTTAGTAATATCTTGTGAAATAGTTGCTTGTCCAATTTTGGTTTAGCCCGTGACGAGACTGCTGCATTGTACCGTTTGGTTTATGGTTTTCTTTTCAATTCCAAGGAAAGACATGGTCGGATATCCAAATTTCCCGGGGATGTTGAGATAATGAAGGTTTCAATTCTTTCATTTTGTCTTTAGGGCGTAAAGAATGAGGACTTAAGGGGCATGCACGAGTTTTTGCAACTGGTTGCATGGCGTTTATTGGTCCTTTCGTCTTCCGTTTACCTTCTTAAAACATTTTTAGGTGGCTCAAACGAGTTGCAGTGCAGCTATTGTTTAATGGCAATGTCATCATGTCCTCACAGACTATGCAGAATGTTTTGCCGTTAAACCTTACTTATGTGTTAATCAATAGAGAATAAAGAGAATGACATGAATGGCTTGTTTGGGGGAAGGGAACGACTGATAGAACTGCTTAATAATCAAGGTGCTTCTGAAAACGCTTATAAACAAAAGTGCTTTGTACATGAGGAATTCTAAACGAACCCAAACCCAATTAAATTTCTTATCGGAAATTGATTGGATTTTGGGCGGATGAAATTGAGTTGGCCCAAATTGAACTTGTCGGAATACACTAGATAACGCTATGGCCCAAATTGGGCGGCTAGCTGCTTTTTAATTTTTAAACGCCCTCCACTTACGGACTCCAGCTACAATTCAATTGAACTGCCAATTTGCATATTTCGTTCGTTCGGAAAAACAATGGAGGAGAAGGACGAACAACCATCAGAATCAGAAGCAGCAGCAGCGGCAGCAGCAAAAACCTCACTCTTCCCTGTACTACCCGTCTCTCAACAAATCACAAGCGTCCCTCACTGGCTTTCCAATACCAGCTTCACCACCCAACTCTCCGTCATAAACGACGCCGTTATCTCACACTTCAAACCTGACCCGCTTCCGTCACCACCACCACCGCAAGAACATGAAGAGGAGGAGGTGCCGTCCCAAGCAAAGCCATACGAGATGCTGGAATCTTCTTCTGGATCCGATAGAAGCGATGAGAGAGACAGGACGACAAAGAAGAAAAAGCATAAGAAGAGGAAGAACAAGAGGAGGAGAGAGAGGTCCGTTGAGAGAGGCCGTGGAGCATTCGCCGATTACGGGTCTAGAAAGTCCAGCGTTCGGGCTTGGGCCGACTCCGAGACTAAACCTTCCAAAGATTATTTCCTTGATTCTCATGGCGACCCCGACAATTTGGTGTTTGGATGTCTCTACAGGTATTTTGCTATTTTAGTTCGATAATATTTTGTCTCACTTTCCTTCAGTCTTTCTTTTGTCACTGACAAAGCTGATAAATGAATTGCTAATTGCTGTGCTTACATTTGGTGTATGTTTAGTTGGAAGTTTAATTGTCTCAGCAATAACATCAAATTTTTATATCCAAATTGATTCGTTTTGATGCTATCACTATGAAGATGAAGCTTTTGAATTGACTGTCCCTAATTTGTAATGCAGAATGGACGTTGCTCGCTACAAGCCTTTTGCGGAGGTATCTGGGAGTGATTTTCAAGGTTTGTATCGGTGGAACCAGACAGGTACAACACTGGATAGAGATGCCGATGTTGATGCATTGGATGGTAAACTAAAATCTGCTGGTCGCTATTGGTCTGCAAAGTACATGGCTTTGGAACGCCATACGAACTTAAAGCGTGCTCGCATACTTGTCCCCAGAGACCTTGCGGTTACAGTTTCCGGTGATTTTATTCCTTTAACGGATGGTCGATCATCCAATGAAGGTGTTGATGGCGATGATTCACTCTCAAGAACTTCAGTGGTTGAAGAATCTTGGGAAGATGAAGTAATACGCAAAACACGGGAGTTTAACAAATTGACGAGGGAGCAACCCCATGATGAAAAGGTTTGGTTAGCTTTTGCGGAATTTCAAGACAGGATTGCTGATATGCAACCCCAGAAAGGCGCTCGGTTGCAGACACTGGAAAAAAAGATTAGCATACTGGAGAAGGCGGCTGAGCTTAACCCAGATAATGAAGACCTGTTGCTTTCTCTTCTAAAGGCTTACCAAAGCAGAGACAGTTCTGATGTGTTAATTAGTAGATGGGAAAGGATACTCATTCAACATTCAGGAAGTTACAAGTTGTGGAGAGAGTTTTTGCGTGTATTTCAAGGGGAGTTCTCAAGGTTCAAGGTTTCAGACATGAGAAAAATGTACGCACATGCAATCCAGGCTTTATCTGCTGCATGCAGAAAGCACTTTAGGCAGGTTCTCAAATTTACTTAATGTTTTATGTTCTATTGGAGATTGTATTTATCTGTTCTCTATTACTTTCTCAAGAGATCAAGGGAATGTAGGAAATGAAGATAAAACTAGGTGTAAACCAAAAAGAAGAAGATAAATATCAGCATTAGATTTGGAAAGAAAATAGCTATTTCAGCCTTTTGCTGGTCCATGATGTTTTCCTGGTAACACTGGATGTACATCCCTAACAATGAACTGCAAAATGGGTTGGTAATAATTACATCGCATTATGGGGTTTATTTATACATTAGACTTTAAGACTACTAAAATGTTATGTGTTCAACACTTTTAAGACTTTTTTTTCCACTTTGTGCCTCATTTTATTTCCCAATTTTCTATGGCATCTATGGTTGTGGCTGCTCTAGGAATTGGAGGTTTTGAATTAGGCATCTTGAGACTTTAATAATTTCCAGAGCGTCTGAGGTTAACTTATTTTGGTTTACATTTGGTTCCCATTTGATGCAGGTTTGCCAAGCAGAAGACAGTCCTCCAGATCTTGCTACTGTTCAACTAGAACTTGGTCTGGTTGATATATTTATCAGTTTCTGTAGGTTTGAATGGCAGGCTGGCTATCAAGAGTTGGCCACTGCTTTATTTCAGGCTGAAATTGAATTCAGTTTGTTTTGTCCTTCATTACTCCTCACTGAGCAGAGTAAACAGATACTGTTTGAGCACTTTTGGAATAGTGATGGTGCAAGAGTTGGAGAAGAAGGTGCTCTTGGTTGGTCCACATGGTTGGAAAAAGAGGAAGAAAATAGGCAGAGGGTTATCCAAGAGGAGACTGCACATGATAATGAAGGTGGCTGGACAGGTTGGTCGGAACCACTAACCAAAAATAAGGAAAATAGTTTAAAGACAGAAAAGGAATCCGAAAGTAATGTTCTAGTTGAGGAGTTTCAAGAAGAATTTGAGGAAGAAGATGTCAAGAAAGAAGAAGATACTGAAGCTTTGCTAAAGATGCTAGGAATTGATGTTGATGTTGGTACTAGTGGTGAGATTAAAGACACTTCAACCTGGATCAAATGGTCAGAAGAAGAGTTATCGAGAGATTGTGTTCAATGGATGCCTGTTCATGCAAGAGGTTCACTCTTTCTCTCTGTGAATATGAATGTTCTTTCATGGGTGCATGCATCTTTCTCTTGGTCTTTGCCTATTTTTTGTTTCCCTTTGTTCTTTTCCCATTCACTGTCTTGCAATGAAACTCTTTTCCCGTTTAAGATGTAAATGTGCTTGAAGTTATTATGCATTCATCATTCCTGATAGCGATGCTCACAAAGTACTTACATTGGGTTTGAATATGAAACAGCTGCTATCTCTCATAATGTTGGTACACCCGATGGAGAAGCAGATGAGCACCTTTCGAGAGTAATAATGTTTGAAGATGTCAACGAGTACTTATTTTCCTTGAGCTCATCTGAGGCCCGTTTATCTCTAGTATTGCAATTCATTGATTTCTTTGGTGGGAAAACCTCTCAGTGGTGAGGTCCTATTATCACTTTATCTGTGTAATCTTATCCACTGTTGCATTGGATCTAGGTTCATATTTTCTTTTGTCTTTTTTTTGACAAAATAAGGGAACCTGACTTCCACAATGAAAGTAGACACTAATTGATGATATGCTTTTACCCCTCCCCCAAAACAGGATATCTACAAACAGTTCAACTTGGGCTGAGAAAGTCCTTAGCTTTGAGGCATTGCCAGATTCTATGTTACAAACTTTGAGAAGGGTTCATAATTTTTTAAGCAAAACACAAGGCAGTTCAAGTAATGTCAGCTTGGAATCTCTCTTGGGTACCTCCATTGACATCTACAGAAGAACAGACCTGATGAAATTTCTTCGTAATGCTACCTTGCTCTGTTTATCTGTTTTTCCACGTAATTTTGTCCTAGAAGATGCTGCTTTAGTTGCCGAAGAGCTATCTGTTATGAATTCGAATCCTTCCAGCTGTTCTGTTACCCCGTGTCGAGCTCTCGCAAAGTTTCTCTTAAAGAGTGACCGTCAGGTAGTAGTTATGTTTGAGTCTAATGGCGGATATGCACGCATCATATCTTTCATATATAGGTCCTTGTTTTTAGATAAGGTTCTTTTAATATCTTAAATTCTAAAGCTATGAATTGTTTGGCCCTCATTTAGTAATTTTTTCCAGGTTTTGAGTAACCCATATTGTTTATAAAAAGGTTTTGAGTGTTTTCAATGAGAGACATGAAATAATTTGAGAAAGTTCCTATAAACATTATTTATGAATAATGCACAGATGCATGATGGTAGCAGGGCAAATTTTAAGTTGTTAATTATTGTTTATATATATTTTTATAAATAATCTGTAGTGAATTTTTTTTATCCCTCAACATTGGATTTGAGTTGGCATAGCCTACAGTTATTAACTTCTGTATCTTATTAAAAGGCAGCAGTTGTGAGTAAGTTGGTCATTTTGCGAAATTAAATGATTGCACCTTCTCACATGCTCTAAAGAGGCAACCTTTTCTTTATTGAGTAACGGATTTGTATGATAGAATTCCTGATCTTGTCTATTTTGGCACTTTGTACAAATAGGATGTATTGCTATGTGGAGTTTATGCAAGAAGGGAGGCTTTTCATGGAAATATTGATCATGCAAGAAGAGTATTTGACATGGCATTGTCATCTATTGAAGGGCTTCCTTTGGTAAGATCTATATGTTTATTTAAAATAAGTTTTGTAGTGGCATATCAATTTAGCTACTGATGTTTGTTTGTGCTGAAAACTCATAATGTTATTTTTCAAAGTACATGTTAGTCATGTCAATGCTGATAGCAGCATATAGTTGAGAGATTGTGAGCCCGTTGGCGTAATGTTATTTTTCAAATTA